CTCCATGTCTCCAGTGTCTTCTTCCCCACTTGGAGCCGAACCCAGAAGGACATTTCTTTCATCACAATAAAGCTGGAAAAGAAATAATTTGAGGAATTAAACAGGTTAGTATCAAATATTATCTGGCAAGGTAAAAAAGCAAGAATATGTATGAAACTGTTACAAGACTCTAATACAGAGAAGGCTTTGGGTTGCCAGATTGGGAGTTATACTACCATGCATCTGCATTTATGTGGCTAAAAGAATGGATAACTTAATTAACTTTGGATGGACAAAATTTGCAACTGGTGTAGCATGGCTTTCTAGGGAAAAAAAATACATGAATATTTTCAAGGACACTATATTAGAAATGCTGTTTTCAGTATGGGCAAAAATTAAGGAAAACACTATTTGAAAATACCAGTCTGGCTCTCAACAATGGAAACATTGATACATCCAAATGTGGTTGATACAGAAAAAAATCATACAATATAAAGATATTTTGAATGAGAAAGGGGAATTGAAAAACAAACAGGAACTGAATATTCAAGGAATAGATTTGGCATGGTGGCGGCAGGTACAAATACAATCAAGATATAAAAAAATGCTAAAACATATGGTTTTTATTTAAAAAAACCCAACAGAATTAGATCAGATTCTAACAAGAACTGATGAGAAACTAATTAAAAGAATTAATAACCATCTACTGAATATTAGAATGGAAGAAGCACAAGTAAAGGAAACAATGATAGTGTGGCCTAAAAACTTTGGTTATTCTATAGAATTGGATAAATGGCAAAAATTGTGGGATAGAAATTATAAATTAACAATGTCTACTGCATATAAAGAAAACATATATAAAATGTTTTACAGATGGAACTTCCCACCAGCAAGATTAGCTAAAATGAGTCTGCCAAAATTTGGAAGTGTAATCAGATTCCGGGCTCTACCACCACATGCGATGAAGGTGCCCAAAGGCAAAAGGATACTGGAGAAAAATACATACTTGGATAGAAAAAAGGATAAAGGAACATAGAGCTGTAAAATCAGAAATGAGCCCGTCCAGCCCAGTAGAAGTAGGTTGGAGTCTGCTTTCTTTGTTTCTAAAGGCAGCCATTTGCCATAATGGGCTGGGCTGGGTCTCCTGCCTGAGTGAGCAGGGGGTCGGACTAGAAGACCCCCAAGGGACGAGGGCTGTGATGGGCTGCGGCGGTGGCGGAGCTATGGGAATCCCAATGTTGGGGGGGGGGTTCCTCTGCATGGCGTTAGGAGCCTCCCGGCTTGCCTTGCACCGTTTGGGCCGCAAAATGTCCGCAGGAGCCTTTACGCAAGTCCAATTTCGTCCCCGGAAGCTGCCTGTCAAAACGAAGGGTTGGGCGCCTCTACACTTTCGCCCCTCTATGATGCACACGCACTTCACGGCCCCGCCCTCTCCCGGCGCGAGGTTTGCGCGACGGCCGCGGTGACGTAAAAGCCCCGCAAGGACGGCGGCCAGGGAGGAAACGTCTGCGCCGCTGCCCGAGGACAGGTGGGGCGGAGGACGGCCGGGCGGGGGGGGGGCTGCGGAGTTTTTCACAGCACCCCCCGGGGGGGGGGTGTCCGTCCTCGCGCAACCCCTGGGAAGACGGGAGGCGGCCTGGAAAGGGGAGGAGGAGGGGAAGCGGAGGCAGACCCGGTTGCCCGCAAGAGAGACGGTCATCCACAGGGGGTGGGGTGGGGACTTTAGCAGTCGAACTGACTGGCACCTGTCACTCAACGCTTGCCGATGAGGAAGGCGAGAGGGTGTGGATAGTCCGTGCATGCACGGGGCCTGCAGAGAGCAGAAGAGAAGAGAAGGAACGGAAGAAAATGGTAAAATATGAAAGTGTGGCAGAAGATAGAAGCCATACCGCCAGGTGCGCTGGGTGCAGCCCCCAAAACATCTGGAGCACCACTGGAACACCATCCGCATTGACAACAGCTGCAGAATGCAATTTACATTGGGACAGTAAAGTATTATCCTGAGAGAACATCATCAATGGCCCAGATTCTTGGGAATACCAAATCCTGTCTAAGCATCTGGCTGACTGCAACCCACAACATCAACAATAATGATATAAAAATGCATTCTGGGGGTAGCTTATTCAGCTGGATCCTGGTGTGGCTCTTCTGCCCTTAGATAGCTGGTGTTGTCTGTGTGTGAAAGTAAGGAAAGTGGAGGTGGTGGTTTCCCCCCCCCATCTCCCCCGCCCCCAATTTCACTATAAAAATGGACCTTCCAGAAAAAACAAGATCTCTGTCCATTATTGAAGCAGACTAAATTGCTTTTATAAACACAAGTTTTTCAAGGATTAATCCTCTCCCTTATTTTTATGCCAAACATATATTGATCAATGAACCATGGTGTTCACTTTATGGCAACTGTTCCATAATTGTGGAAGAGGATGAGCATGTTTTTAAAATTGGAGGAAGACACAAATCCTGTGCACTATGCTGATACCATTGCCCTGATAGTTGAAAATGCAAAGGTTTGGCAAGTTCTGGTAACAAACGTTAAGAAACAAAAAAATGGGGCTAAATTAAATATAAAGAGGACCAATCTCAGTAGAGCCATCAGTAGAACAATCTGCCTTAGAACTGGCAGGGAATATATGAAAGTGAGGCGTTGCTGCCTCCTAGGATCAACCATCATAGTCAAGAAATACGCAATAGTCTAGGTTGGAGTAAAAATACTGAAGGCCTTGGAAAAGAGATTCAGATGCTCTGCTGTATCTAGCCCTATGAAGGTCAGAATTGTGCCCAGGGAGGCTCTCCCTGTAATCTTCTATGATAGCAGAAGTTGGGATAGAAAAAGTATGGATAACTTTGAACTTTGGGTGTTGGACAATGTCATGAACAGCGAAGGAAACCAATCAGTCCACCATGGAACAAATGAAACCAGAGTTCTCACTCAAGGCTCAAATGGCCCCATTTCAGGCTCAGTTCTCTGGAAAAGCTCTAATGTTAGGAAAGGTGAAAGGAAAAAGGAGAGTAATCAGCAGCAAGCCAGGGGGACTCCGTTGCAGTGGAGATGGGTGTACCATTGGAAGACCTGGAGGACCTACTTAGGGACAGATCTATCTGATTACTAAAAGCTGATGGTGCATAATCAGTGTGCCATTTGATAAATCGTTTAGTATAGACATATACTTGTACTTTTTTCAATTGGTTAAACATCTCCCATGGTTTTACCTGGATAGAAACTGTCATGAGCAGCTATTAGAACTCGTGAGCAGGGTTTTCATTGTTTGGAGTAGAGTAAATAAAATTGTGAGAAAGTAGGTTTGTATTCCTCCAGTGCCTAAGAGGATTCATCACTGCATACGAAAATGAGGTTTTTTTTGCCCTTGAAAACCTCCCCGCCTTGGACAGAGCCTTCCATGCCAGAAGCTCCTCCCAACTCCAACCCATCCTCCGTTCCTAGCCAGGGACTTAATTCCTTCTTGCCCCTTACCTGTCCCTTCTGCCTTTCAGCCATGCCATTTCTGGATCTCCAAAACCAGCTGGGCATTAATCTAGATCGATGGATGCTCCGCCTGAGTAGCAAGCAGCCCTTTCAGCAGCCCAGCGTGTGCCACACGTTTGAGAAGGAGTGGCTGGAGTGTTCGGAAGGCATTGGGCTGACCCGGGCCAAGGAGGAGTGCCGGCTGGAGGCGGAGGATCTGCAGGAGTGCATGACCAAGCGCAAGATGGTAAGAGGAGCATTGCTGCGATGCGCAGTGCCTCTTGGGAGTTCTTGGGTCCTTCTCAGGGAACGCAGCATGCCAGTGGCAGGCTGGGCAGGCAGTGGAAAATGGGGCAGTTCTTTCCCCAGACATGCATGTCACCGGGGTCTGCTTTTCACTTCGGTACCATCTGGTTCCCCTATTGCACTAAGCCAAAAGGGGGATCGATTGGAGTGCATAGCAACTATAGTTACAAACATTTAAAAAATATTTTGGCACCAAATAAACTTCAGTTTATGTAAGAAACAGTATTCTAAAAAGTTTACCTCACCCAGGCCCTGTGTGTGATCCTGAACCACCAGTGGGGGAGTGATGAGCAAGGCCAGAGGTGGGAAATCCAAGGGCTGCATCTGCCCCCATTCCCTCTTTTGCCACAACTGGAATGTGATGGGCAAATAGCTGATTTCCAGTGTTGTTATTTTTCTTCTTCTCTTTACTAGACATGTTAGAATTAGATTGGAATTGGAATTGGAATTGGAATTG